AGTAGCTCTAATAAAGTGTGCTGGAATCTGAAAACTATCATATTTGGTTTTCCAGAAAACTTCCTTTTTAAAATATTAATGTAAAATGCATTAGATAAAAAACTCTATTGGCTATTATACTCATTATCTAGATTTGAGCTGGCTATTTAATATCATAGAAAAAAATCAAAAATACGTTGTCGTTCAAATGTTTTCCCACTACTTCATACTATTTAATTTTGTTCCGTAAACAATAGCAGGATAAAGAGATTACTTCAAATTCCACAAAAAAGCAATTGGAATCAAGTGATTCAGAATTCATTTGATGTCTTTTTGATTCTAAAACTCGATCATATTTGCTAAATATATTCGTTCGCTTGTTGTTCATGACGCTGAAATGAAACGTAGTTTTTAGTACTGAACACAAAGGGGAAACAGCGAACTTGAAGTAGCAAAGTACGTCAAAGTAAACTACTTGAAGTAGCTCAAAGTAACTTCAAGTCCAAAAGTCCGCTGTTTCCCCCTTGACTGAACGTCATAATCGTGAATGCATATACATGAATGCTTTCTCCTTCACGATATAATACATTTTCACTTATTTGATAATTCATTTTCCTCTCCATGTATTTTGTTACTTCGTCATATGGTTCATCATCATCTGTAGATAAGTTTTCATTAAAAACGATTTCTTTTAGTAAAATAATATTGCTGTCTACTTCTGTGACCTACTCACAAGTACAATAAATTGCTTAAGTTTTTACTCCTATGGTTTTATATAAATGGTAGTATGAAAAAGGAATTATTAAGGAAAAAAGAATTTTGCTACGTTGTATTTGTTTTTACTTAAACGCTATCGACCTTGACCATTTTATGAAGATATTCAAGTCTAAGAATGGCACGACAGTTGTGCTCTCGTACATCGATTCATTAAGCACGACATAAAGTCAATATCAGGCCGTTTAGTTTCATTTGAAAAATGTATGTTGTCATGTGACCTCTTATAATGTTGATGATTCATTACTACTTACCTTCATGACTAAGACAATCATTTTTACAAAGACAAATAAGTGTTCAAATTAATCATATTTCATTTATTTACCTAGTTGTCATCATTATTTATCTAATTCTATCTTTATTATACAATGTCAATTATGAGTGTGGGCGAATAGAAGAACTACGAACGAACAATAACTGTGCGCAGTTTTTAATGTGAATGTGCACTTATTGTAATAGAATTAGTGTTTTGAATTTCTTTTATTTATTCTTTATGTTAGGCTCGCCTATGGGTTTACTATTTCTGAGATATCATCATTTTTCAATATTACATTTGATAAATGGTAGACCAGGAACACTAGCAACTCGCTGAAGATGTGTAGCAAGACAATCAATCAAATTTGAGAAAAAAAAAAACATTTTTTTTTCTTTCGTTCTCTCGGGTTCAATTGATTTGCTACATAAGTCCGGCAAGTTGCTAGTATTTTCGGCCCGCCACCCTATTTATAAAGCATCCGATCACCTTAGATAAGCTAAAGTTCAATAGCAATAATTGTATACTAGACAGCATAAATAATATTTGACAGGTAATTGATAGTAATTTTTTGCCTGCTTTTCGTCTCTTAGCATGATTGAAATAGTTGTAATGTAATAACAAGTAATTATTCATTCAGAATAAATAGGTATACGGTGATGTAGATTCATTTATTTTTGATTAGATATGAGTCAAAATATTGACAAGCGAACGGCTCGAATGAAATATTATTCAAGCAACCATTACTTTGACTGACGTAGAAGTGTCGCTTTTTATTATGCGATTCGTGTCGAATTGTGTTTCCATCCGTGACACGATTGTTAATGTAGTGTCTTCTTTATCATGCATACTATTCACAACTTTGAATATTTTTATAAAAAAAAAACATAAGAACTAGTCAATCTATACAAAACTTGTTGATTATTAATAATGCTTAGTCGTGGTTCATAAAAATTTTTCCGTCGATATATGAAGTTATAAAAGCTCATCAGATATTTATCTTTTCAGAGTTGATCAATGTCTATAATTAGCACCTTAACTCATGCTCCTGCAATTTTGCTACGCGTTGGTTTCAATGCCGTCTCAGTAGCTGCTGTAATTTCGACAATTGCTGCAACCATTGCTGTAGGTGTTATTGTTACCAAAATAGTGAATACTGGCCAGGGATGTTGTGATCCATTTCATGACCGAACCGTAGTATTGCTATCACCATCATCGTTGGTTTTTGATCGACAAATTGAACCATACGAAAATGATTACTATTATAATGCGACGAAAACAGTATCTACACTTGTTGACGGAATAAACGAGCATTTACACAAAACATTTGGCGATGTTTTTATTAAATTTGTTGCATCAGAGTTCTCTAAGAAACCTGTAGTAAATCATAATCAGAAAAGAAAAATTCGATATAAAAATTCCGATCAGCAATCGAATAAGCACATAATTATTATTAAGCCTACAAACAAACGATTCCAACGGTCGTCTCAAGAGTCGTCGAAACATAAATCTTTATCACATATCTTACAACCACCAACAACATCTACAAATATAATCCATATAAAATCTTCATCAGAAAATGTGCAACATACTGATAAATTATCCATGAAATCAACCTTTTCGTATGAATTATCATTCAGCATCATTAAGAAACTTCTATTCTTATTTTCCTTTTCCACATCGACAATTTCATCTCGTTTTCAACTAACTACCATACCGCATCTGATTTCTCGAAACAAAAGGGAAACTAACAATTGCACTTCGATATCTAATGGTACTAGGCAACTATCACACACTTACGTCAATGGTACTCTTTATTTCAATGCTACAACACCCGAAACTATTCCTAAGACAAACATTATTAATGCACTAAAATCATTCACACCAACGATTGTTTTGATCAATAAATGTGGACAAGAGAGCCCAGGTGAAAGTGTCTTCTCAGCGGAACTATCACAAATAGAAACATTATCAGCAGTAGAGGTGAACATCACAGTTCTCAATCAACAAAATACTATCCCTGCATCATTATTAAACGAATTAATTTCAGTTGATTTTACCACCATGCCGTCAGAAGTCGTAGCGACAACACCACTGAAGTTACCGATATCATCAATAGAATCAAGATCGATGACATCGGCAACACAATCAACGTCGATGATATCGACAACACAATCAACATCGATGACATCGACAACACAATCAACATCGATGACATCGACAATACAATCAACGTCGATGATATCGACAGCACAATCAACATCGATGACATCGACAATACAATCAACATCAACAGGATCAACAACAACAACAGAAACAGCATCAATGATATCAAGCATTCATATTGCACATTTTATCCAATAGTAACACTGTCAACCAAAACAGTTTCCACTTGTATCTACAATGATTTGTCATTATAATATTTGTTTGTTGCAGTGGTATCTAACGTATGGGTCCAGGAGACGACGCTAGGAACGGCACTTTCACTTTTTTCCTGTGAGAAGGAAAGTATGGGAAAACTTTTGCTCTTCTTTTCAGAAATGGACAGCTTTTGCTTTCTTTTTTCTAGAAAAGGAAAGTCATTGCTTTTCTAACTATCCTTTTCAAAAAGAAAGGTTGATATCTTTGATATTCTTTAGAATGAATAGTATCTGTAGTATTGACAATAGGGAGACTAAAACAATCATTTTAATATCCGTAGGTTTATGTATCTTTTTATCTTTCTTTCTTCGTTCTTTTCTCGTCACTTCAAGTTACTTTCCTACTATTGATATTCTATATCTATTCACTTCAACCTTTAACTGATCTTTTCAATGTTTGCATGCTACTTTATCACACCATTCTCAACTCGAAAGGTTTTTCTTTCCCTTCTTGTGACAAGGAAAAAGTATCAAACATGAATCTGATTCTGATCGTAAATGTGTTTTGGATGTTTGTCAATAAGAGAGATCGATTGGAAAGAAAAATTTTGGATTCTTTTCGTATCAATTGTTTCCTGAAAATTTCGTTCAACTTCAAACCAATTGACGAATTTTTCAAGAATTTAAATAAAATTTTCTATGGTGAAACATGACGTATATACTATGCAATCAGTGTAACTATCGCATTTTTATTATACCCAAGAAAATATATCTATAGAGCCAGAAAACTACGACACGTGCACATTTATCATATCATTTTCGAAACAGAATATGTCGGACGAAGTTGAGTAGCTCTGTAACGCAAACATAGATATCTACGGTTTTCACCAGTCGACAGAGAATACTGAACGACGATAATCTGTGCTCCAATCGAAAATTTTAGCTATAACCTTAAAGAATTTCTATCAGAACTTTCCAGAAAACGTCTTACCGTTCAAGAAAGCTTTATAACATTTTTCATACTAACTTTATCTGCGTTGTAGCCCCGAGTCTAGTCTATAGAGCGACAAAAGTTATAGATTGTTTCATTTTTCTGTTTGAGTAGGGAACTACAGGCGCTGGGATTAGAGTACTGCAACCCGCGGGTTGGGTACCCGAACCTGACGCTGGTATCGTGTACAATTGGTTACGGGTGAGGTAGGGTACGGGCAAGTTGGTTACGGGTAGGGTAAGGTACGGATACAGTTGGTTACAGGTAGGGTAGGGTACGGGGTAACAACTACGGTGTCGGGTAGGGTACGGATACGAAAAGTTGTACCCGTGCAGTACTCTAGCTGGGATTCGAAAAACTATACTTTTTCACTTAACTCAGCTTAGACTTGCAAGAAAAGCATACGTTTTCTTACATATTGAATCTTGTTGAGGCGTCTGTGTTCTTCTCTATAGAGAGTAAAGATGCATAGGAAAAGATGATCAAACTAGTTGATCTTTGGCTTCTCCTTTGCTTCTAGGTGACAATTTTGAACCATCAAGTTCAAAAGTGATTGATTCGACAACGTTAAACTTCTACTGCAAATGTAATTTTTTTAAGCTCTCTCTATTGATAATGCCAGCAGTAGGCAAAAAGAATGTGAAACATGGAGGAAATTAATGAGGATAATCAAATAGTGATATATCTACTATCCGTTTCAAAATAGAATGCACCTGACTGTAAATTGAATAAGTTTTGATAGAAACAAGATAGAGAGCTGCGATTTTCACCGTTGAACAGAGAAGGATTGGGGCTATCCAGATATGTCATTTATCATTGGTCAATATCTTGACCAATCAGATGATCTTCTTGATAGACTTTTCGGATAAGATTTTCAAGGTCACTTTCTGATTTGATCTTCACTTCTGATACCACCATTCGATAGTAAAAATTGTTCTCTATCGATCTACGCAAACCCGACCTTTCTACGTTGTTCTGTTCGAGCAATATAAAGGCTTTCCTGACCCCCCCCCCCCCTTTTTGGCAATTTGCACTCTG